ATCATCATCATCATCATCATCGACTGACAGACATCAGTGTTCAACACTGATGCTTCACTGCCGTACCATCTGGATTTAGGCAACCCGGTGGTACCTCAGCCCTCGAACATGCAATGTAGGGCCTGCCTTCGTTGTACCATCACCGTCCACATTAGCCATCGTGACCCTTCTATAAGAAAAAGTGTGCTCCAACGGCCTCTAGGTACTGCACACTACACAAAGCCTTAGGTAACGCAATTAGATAGAGAAGGCCAAAAAACCAAGAAAAACTGTTAATCGGATGGCAGAGATATGAAACTAACCGTACCGTCAGTGCCTTTGAAAACAGCTAGTTCGGATTCCAGTTGCTTGTTCATCTGTTGCGCATCAAATAAACGGTGGTCCAACCGTGTGACTTGACTCAATGCTTGTGACAGTTTGTAGTCGAGATCTTCATACTTCGCCTGCCATTCAGCTGCCGAGTCGGATCGAGTCTGGGCCAGGTCCTGCAGTTCACGTAGCTGTAAAAGGACACAGGAGGCTTTTGAAATGGAGATCCTGTCCAAGCGAACGTCGAATGATAGCGAATATGTATAAGTCGTTCATGAATTCAGTCGCACATCGCCCACCAAAATATGGGCACATATAACGAGTACAGAACTATCCATATACATAATGTACAGACGTATGATGTACATTTATTAAAAGCACCGGAATCAATTTTCAAGGATCAAGATTTTAATTCTTCTTATATAAATCGTTCAGCTGTAGCACCCTTGCTTGCCATGTCACTATAAGGAAGCACGAATGCTGGGATACTGCCAGGTTGTCCAAGCCAAGACAGGGGAAGTAAAGAGGTAGAAGACGGGTTCGAATCACTGATCTCTCCGTCAGTAAATAAGCGCCATCTAGTCCCCTTCCTTTAGGGAAACTAATTACAAGGTTGCTGTCGAAGGAAACGAGGGATTCAGCATAGATGCCGAGGAGTTTCGCGGTTAAATCAAATTAATGTAAACAAGTGTATTTCGGGAATTTCAATTACGCTTTATAACAAGCCACTGGTCGACAGTCACGGGGAACACCAAGGTGTTCAATGTGCCTGCAGGTAGTGACAATTAACGACCAGAAGACGGAGAGAGCCATAAGGACCAATCGATAATGCGCATGTTTGCATTCGTTTACTACATTCGGCTTCCACTATTCGTTTGGTTGGCTCAGTTCGCGTATTCATCAATTCAGTGCGTTGACTTACCCATTGTCCACCCTATGCACATTTCTTGTAAGTTAATTGCCTGTGTAACAGGCTGCAGCCTGATAGGAAGATGGGACAGCTGTAATTCCCTGAGTAGTGGCAAATAATGAATGTCACAGGTATTCTGCCACTCGACTTACATCAGTAACTTCTTAATGACCACCAGCAAGTGATAGCACTAGACGTTTTATAACGTGCAAAATCTTGGGAGCATTCCCACACTGGCAACAAGTCTGAATTATATGAAAGTTTGAAACACGACGATGCTGATAACACCCGTTCTTTCTCTTTCACACGTTTTATCCCCCCTCTCCCCAACCATTAATAACTCTCCCTTCGTAGGCCCGTTAACCAGGGCTTAAATCTTCCTTCGTCATTCATCGGTCTTGCAAGCAACATCTACGCGTCTACCGGTGTTGACATCCCCAGACATCACGAAACTAATACTCAAGCCTCAACATCTATCTGGCGCGACACGCGAAGCGTTATGTCATGAGCACCAAGCGAGATTTAAACCGAGTAGAGGTTGTGTCGACTAAATCTTCACAATGCATCAGGTGTTAGAGCAACGCCATATGTACAGACGACCCACACTCTTGATTTACCTTGACTTCAAATGCGTGTTTGACTCCGTTGAGCGGTCAGTGCTGTTAACCGCACCTGCTCAACAGGGTATGCCGATAAGTTTGTGAATATAATCCAAACCCTTCTTGACGTGTTAGTGCATGGCGGGCTCTCCAAAAGCTTCCTTATAAAAAGTGGTATGCGACAAGGATGTCCACTCTCTCCACTCTTGTTCACCTTTGTCGTTGATGAAATAATGGCGCGAATTTTAGTCATCAAAACACCGGTATCCAAGATGTTTCTGGTGACAACATTTTCGATCTGGAGTACGCAGACGACAGCGTTTTCGTCTTTGAAGAGCGAGGTGCAGCACAAGCACCATCATACCATCGTTCGGCATGCACCTATCAACTCCAAAGTGTAAAGTCATGCTTCATAATGTGCAGTCTACGAACATATCCCTCACAAATGTGTGTCTGGTGAAGTCAGTGCGCAAATCTCAAAGGTCAGAATGACGCTCGCTAATTTGCGTCACTTGTGGCGTTAAAAAGGCATATCACTGGTTATAGCAGTCGCGCGTACCAGGGTACAGTAAGAGCTGTTCAGCTATGGCACCCTCTCAGTGCCTAGTTGCTATGCCACCCGAAAAAAGCATGAGGGCTGGGTCATTGCCAGATTGCCCAAGCCTAGGCGTGGGAAGTAGAAAGGGCTAATTGGGTGCTAGCTACGGACCTTTCGGTCAGTAAATTCACGCTCCAACCACTGAGCCATCTCGCCCAATTACGTGCTATATTGTTGTGTGGTTGCGAAACATGGCCTCCGCGGACAAATAATTTGAAGCGTCTTCAGGTCTTTGACTCAGAAGCGGATGGCGTTGGTGAATTTGATTGTGTAGCAGGTACTTCGATCGCGGAAAACACCCAGCATCATCAACTGCAGTAGCTCGGACATGTTCCGAGCCATGTTATGCTGTCGACGATGCAAATGAGCAGCTCAACGAGGATAGATAGTGATGCCACCAATCAACACGATGGTCAATTCGCCAAGTGAGTAAACAGAGCAGCTGCGCTAATCGTGACGGAAAGCCCAAGCCGAATATCAATCAAGCGTATGTGTGATGAAACACGACATAGGCTATTCAATTGACCGAGTTCAATTCATACCAAACGAACTCACTTTACCGCTTCTTATCTAAAAGATCTCATACACCAGTCGAAAGAGGCAGGCTGTTCATCCATCTCGACTACAAGAGTTTGCTGTTTCCCAAAATTAAAATACACAGCACCCGTTGTGGAAAGACATCCGATAGATGGTGTGCAGATTGTATTGAATGACCGGCTACCACTTTGCATTGCATAACGTCGAGAATCACAACGGTTGAAATGTGTGGATACAGGCAACACACGACGGTTTTCACATTGGTACGTTCATGACCTCACCAGTCCATCACTTTGATTTGAGCTGATCTGAAGGAGCCTTTGAAACTTAAGCGAAACAACCCTTATCGGTAAATTTAACGGTTGTTTTCCTTACGGATACGTTCAGAACTCCTCTGTCAGAGCTGAACCAAGATATCTGATCCGAAGGAAACTTACACCCAAGTTTGCGCACAGTTTGGTATGCAGTACATGGATCGAACAAGAGTTAGGTGGCAAAATGCAAGTTTTTTGTAAGCACAACTACTAAGGTGAGTTGGTCAAACACCGAAGAGCCCCATCTTAATGGCTAGTTCAACACAGAACACAAATAGAAAGGGAATTAAAACACGCGACCATCTACCTAATGCAAATATAAAACAAGGCGGGAAATTTCTCACTGCACACCTTAAGGCTACTTTGCCTATGTTTGGCGTGGAGGTCTGTACAGAGCGACTGTAATCGTTGGTTTTCTCTATTCAACTGAGAAATTTCTTCGCGAAAACTCCCAAGGTGATCTGTAGTTGAGGTGGAGTTGGTGGTAGAGCCATGAGGATGGGGAGCAACGGACGTGTGGAGACCAGTTGCAGGATTATCGCCGACAGAACATTGTATCGGTTCATCAGGTTGCGAAGATGAGTGGATAGGTACCTCGGACCGTGACTGGTCAGTCGATATCGCGGTACCGGAGGAATTGGACAGGGAATCCTTTACGAACCGGTTCATTTCTCGCAGACGACCTTGACGTGCTACGAGCCTAGAACGAACGAAAGATTAAATATGGATGCGAACTTGAGGTAAACTACAAAAAACGCGATACAAAGTGCCGAAGTCAGACGTGGGGGAGGAACACGAGCTAAGCTCAAAGAAAAAAGGCCCTGCACGACAAACTATCCGGTATTATGTGGTGCGAAACATCTACAGGACAACTAAAATATAATTTCGCTGAAAAGTGTTAAATGGTAATCAAACCCAGAAAACAGCCGATTTACATTGCGTCCTATGTGAACACGACTGAAGTTCAACAAAACGATGTATTCACTTCCCAAGTCAATGTGTCAACGTGGGACCCCATGCCTAAACGAACACCAGGTTAGTCAGAAGTTAGACAACTTACCGTTCGTATGCGGACAACAAACGAGCAATGATGCGTTTGGAAAAATGAACGCGCTCTTGTAACTTCTCCGATACTTCTTCTTCGTCCCATGATCCCAGTTGTTTGAGAAACGATTCCGTGGATGTTGAAACTAGAGTGAGCGAGATATACGGTAGCTTGTTGGTCTTGTTCTGAAAAGATTCTAGTGTCAAACTTTTGGTTTGCTGAACAGATTGATGCGAAATAAGCATACAAAAAACAACATACTGTCTGAAAACCAAGCAACCAACACATAAAAGCAAAACAATGAGATACTCACTCTCCTCTTCAATATCAGAATCAAAGCGTTGAAGAAGTATCAGACCATCTTCATCCAACTGACAAAAAAGGCGAAAAAGCACGGGACTCGTCAACAATTAGTTTGAGTCAGTGGGGCCACATAAACCATAAACAAATCATAAAACTGTACCATTCCGCGAGGACTGAAATATATCCAAGTAGTGATACTATTACGTGATCTGTGTTGTAGTGGGGTGCTTCATCAAATACAATACCGACAAAACATTGACGTATACAATTATGTACTGGTAAAATCCTCAGAGTGCTGTTTTGGGAATAAAACTCAGTTACATGAAATTCACTTAATTCGATGAAATCGAATTACTAACAAAGTCCCGGGGGCAAATATGGTGTGGTCTTTTGTATTTCATCCACACACTGAAGGTTGAATTCCATAACACTTCCTGCTACCTTGATCTGGAGCAGCGGAACATGGCGCGTTTGTTCACTGCCTTGAGCTGGGACTGCAAAGGTAAGGTTATGTCAAAGCTGTTCGTTTTTCAACGGGAATCCGTCATACCCACGTTCATGGCACCTTAGGTTGACAACAATGACAGAATAGAGAAACAGCCATACCCATACAGGTTAGGTAGTGCACGGACGGAGTGTTGCACATCCGTCCTTTCTGATGTGGGTTGACATCCTGCCGTAAGTGCTACAGACATCGTTCAGCTGTGACACCCTTCCGGTGCCTAGCTGCCATGCCACCCGAAGGAAGAACGAGGGCTGGGATACTGCCAGGTTGCCCAAGCCTAGACAGGGTAAGTCGAGTGGCAGAGGTCGGGTTCGAACCACGGACTTTCCGGTCAGTAAATTCGCCCTCTAACCACTTAAGCCATCTAACCACCTGCAGATAAGCACACGTCGCTCTTCCTTTTATACACACAGGGGGTGGAGGAGTTGCACAATCATTGGCAGTCGTGTGAAATGGGAGTTGCGATTACATATCACGACCCCGAGTGCCTTGTTCATGAAACCCAAAGTAGGTGTGACCACAGGTTGACCCTCAGAAGTATGCGGCATTTGAATGGCGAAGTACCCATCATAGCAAGTAACTGTCCACATTAGGGCGGTTTGAAGACGATTCAGATATCCCCACCCTAACATATCATCGTGAAATACAGGCCCTGGACCTGTCTGCGGGGTATCCAAAGTGCGTCGTCACTGCCAAATCGTAATAAGGCAATTCTCGGGATAGTGAGCCATAAAGTCCTCTATTGAGCACAAGGAGGATTACTTCCCATCCACCTTTCCGCCGCTACACGTTGTCAATGGCACTTGATTGTTCTGACCACTGACTACTCCATTAGAAATACAACAGTGCTCTCAGAAAAAGCCAGCCTTACATGATGAAGACTAGTTCTGAATGAAATACACTCGTCTTCCATTGTCCTGGATGTCTCAAGGTATCCCATGAGCGAATATACATCCTTGAGCTGAAGGAAATCTATCAGAGAAGCAATTTACCTGGCATGGGATTTGATAGACGCTTCCAGTGCAGGTGGTTTCGGCTATCAGCGAATTGTTGCCTGAACTTATCTCGAGTGTCAGTTTTGTTTTGTAATTGTTGACTTTGGTATTCATCATTAACTCCTTTCAGTGTAATTCGTGATATGCCTCGTTAACGAAGAAACAAATAAAAATATCCGCGAATAGTTGGAGGAATGAAATGTGACCCGTGGAGTAGTGGGAAATATGATACCGTTGATAATTTGAAATTCATGGCCATTCACAAAGCAAACAAGTAAACACGAGTAACTAGATATATCCCCACGGATCCATCAGGTGGAACTTCATCTTCGGACGGGGGGTTGCAACTTCTAGGTAAATGTGTTACCGACTACCTTCTTCACGGGTCACGAATTTGGGCAAACTGAGGTGATTCGCCAGGAGAATGTACCGCCAGGAGATAGATGAGTTACACTGCAGGTACAGGTGCTATATCCAAAAGACATCAGTCATCCAGATTTCATCAGGTTTAGTATCGAAGGCCACAAACGACCTGAGTGAGCGAAACAAGTGGAGATTGTTGGCACTTGCTTAAAGAAGCCGTAATTTAGTGGCCTATTTGCTCTACCCGGTGTCGTGACCTTGCTGGAGAGCTCTGAGCAGTATGGTCCATCGGGCCTGAGTGAGACCAGCGAATACGGTCCTGCGAAGGCTTAGTGGCTCAGGTAAGTTCCCGGGGACCAACTGAGTGATTGCGCACGGGGAAGTTCCAGCTTTCTAGATGGTCTGCCTGAATGATGACCATTACTACTAAATTTAATAGCTTCGCCACAAGTTTGCGTTGGGAAGACGCTGAGGCGACTGGCTGTGCTAACTTAGTCAACTCAAGTTTCACCGTTTTTTTTTACGGAAACGTATACAGTATGGCATATAGTAACGTGTGATGTTATTCCAAACGTGTTCCGATGGACAGCACCAGCATTGGACAGAACCTACGTCAAATAACGGTAAGCTGAAACTGGATTTTAGGCTGCAAGCGATATGAAAAGGAAATCAAATAATCGAGATGAAAGCAATCCTCATTGTCAGTGCTCGCCAATTTGAGAGTACGGTGGCCCGAATGGTATCCCATGTTACGCTAGTCGGCCGAACCGCACGTTGGAATCTAAAGCCAGTGAACTAAAAAAGCACATCGGGGACCATCAAGTTAAACGCAGTTACAGTTGAAATCGGTCGATAGGCGGGCTGGTATGATGAAAATTCGTTGAAGATCTCCCGGCAAGCATTCTCCCCGGAGGATCTCTATATTCTAACGAAACAGAGAATATAGCCGGTGAGCACGCTAATAAGGGAAAAAAGGGTTATCCACAATGTACTGTACAAAAACACTGAGTAAGAAACCAGCGGTTACTGGGCCCCATCCGAGTTGAATGAGACCTCGACGCGTGAAACGTCACAAGAAAACTTACAAAACAAACGACAAACATCTTCCCATTGACAAAATGCTTAGGATATGTGCGTAGTGACACAAGCTGTGGGAAAATTTGTTCTGGCCCTTTAACAACCGACTGCTGTGAATACCAGACAATGATACAGTTTTATCAAAACGGGCCAACACTGTTTGACAGTGATTTCCTTCGTCCGGAAACATGTCCAAATCAACCCGTTTCCTTTTTTGTATTCTCACGTCCATGTGACTCATCTCAAGTAGATGCAAGGATGAGTCGATTCCGAGGGGTATAGGATTCAGTTGGGTTTTCCAGCTCACAAGTCGTGCGTCGAAGTGCAGGAGTTCTAGCTGCTACAGCTTCGTCCACCGGGGACAAGGGGAACAAGTGACTTAAAGACTGTCGATCGGGCATTAATCACCTGTTAGTCTAGTGTGGATGGTGTAAAATTTCGAATAGATAGTGAATTTGCCGACCGCATGAAGCACACAAACGTACTTGATTCCAATATCGATTTATGACACAAAGAAGGGCATCGTCCTTCGCTTGTCGGTTTTCCAGTTGTTCAATACGCTCACGAAGCTCGGAAATGATGGCTCGTCGTTCGATAAGCACTTCCCAGAGCTTTTTGTTTTGTAATTGTAAGGCACGCTTGTCCAGCTCCTCTAGAGATCGCACTCGTGTAAATGTGATAGGCTCGGAAGAGGCGGACAAAAGTCTTTTGGCAAACGGCGCAGATGAGCTAGCATCTGATGGAGCACGTGGTCTATGCTCATGGCTACTGCTGTTTTCTCCAAGGGCTTCTGCATGTGACCGTTTAGACATTCGATGCGCTAAAATGCAAACCACAAGACGGCTGGTATGAAGTGGGTTGAAGATTTTACACAAATGGATCTAGCCACATGCGGATAGATGTTGAAACTCCGAGTGGTAACCACTATCCACTGTTCATGGAACAAAAATCTTTCGGCTTTAGCACCCTTTCGGTGCCTAACTCCCATGCCACCAAAAGGAAGCACGAAGGCTGGGATACTGCCAGGTTGGCCAAGTTTAGGCAGAACAAACCACTGACAAAATTCGTCCATACAATTAGCTTATGTACACTGCGGAGATTCATAGCTGAACTGGTTAAGGAGTCACTACCGATCTCTATTTGAGCTATAACGCACGCCAACACCTACCGAATCACACCCAAGCTCAAGATCAACAAAATTCCCCAGAGGATTCATCAGCAGATTCGGTGAGTACCCGATTATTTATCCACGCGCACGGCGTGATCTAGGGAACCAAACTTCAAACCACCAAGACACATTGAATTACCCAACGATCAGTCTTACTTGGTATAAATACTTATACGTAGTATAAATACTGACCTGTACATTGGATAAGAAACCAGCCAATCTCAATCGAGCTGTGTTTAAAAAGGCATCCATATGACGATGAGCGTGAAAAACAACCAAACGACATGAGAAGACTGTATTTAGAACCAATGCCCAAGGATCTCAGAGGAGACATTCACAAACTACACATCAGAAAAAGACGAATGATGCTAGGACACTAACATAGGTTTCGGAAGGCATTCCTAAAACAAAGAAAAACAAGGTACAGCACCAAATCACTCCAAGGAGGAGGACCGGGGTGTTAAGTGAGGGAGATGGACAGGATTCAAGAGGCGAAAGCAACCTGTGAAATCACACAAACAGCAAATGGGGGTGCATAACCGTCGTTGGAGAATCCTAACCATTGAAGGAAGCGCCATTGCTGTACTCACACTTTTACATTGCGAAAACAAACCATCACTCAGACCAATGTGGAGGCAGTGGTAGGCGTCATCATAGGCGACCGAAATTGTGAAGCGGGCGCCTTATGTTGCTGCAGTAGAGATAATGATGGCGGTAAACGCGGACAAGCATGAAACGGAAGCGCCAGGTAATTCACGTGACCCGTAATAACAAAAAAAAGGAGAAAGGCAAACTGACACGGCATTGTGTGGGGAACAGGAAGGCCGTGAAATAGGATACGATCTGGAAAGGCCATTGAGGACATAAGAAAAAGACTATCGATGTGCGGGTGCAAAAGTTAACCCATCCACAGATGACAAACATGATTAGGTAGATCACGATGAACAAAATGAATGGTAGTTGTTGGTCTACCGAGAGCACGCACGGTTGTCGAGAGTGGCAACAGAAAGAACATTGGAACGACCAAGCGCTAGGTGAGCGGCATCAACGGCGACAGCGGAGGAGCAGAGCGGCAAGCCACTGAATACCATCGAGAAAGTAAAGTGGCGAGCAGTCCGTATAAGTTAGCTTTGACAGAAGCGTGTTTCATGGCTGAACTGTAACTGAGAAAAACGCTTCACGAGGATATGACAAGGTCCGTTGCGTTCCAGATTTCAGTTGGATAGTCTCTAGCCAACAACATGTCGGTCCGTTCGGAAAAATGAGGGCAAAATATACGTACATGCATAAAAAAAAGATGGTAAGCGTACCGATAATAATGATGATAAGTAAAGTATATGGGAGCGCGGGACAGAATCAATGGGGTTCCAGGAGAGAGAGAGAGAGAGAGATAAGTAGCAGGGCAATTCAAAACCGGTTGTAGGGAAAGGACGGAAAGGGACAGAGGTTGGATGCATACAAAGTGTGGACAGAGGCAGGCTATCAAACGAAAAACAACCTATTTTTGTTAGTCTTACAGGGACCGGAAGTACACACGAGCGGTCCGTTGGAGGTGGGGGTCAATTATGTAGCTGGAGGTAGGACAATTAACAAAATAATTGGCGTACAAAACTGGTTGATGTGGTACTGAAACTCTCGCGCGAGCGCCCTACAGGAATTGGATGTATGGTACAGCCACCCAGGAGAAACGAACAAAAGAGTTCGTTTGTACAGCGGAAATCGTGAAAGACATTATCACAAGGAGGCAAGCAATTGTTCGTGGCCAAAAAGTAGGCAGGTAGGTACGGAGTAGCTGGGTGGGTAGAAAACGAGGAGCTGAAGAAGTAAACCGAACTGAACAAGCTCAAGCACGGCAGTATAAAGCAACAAGATCGATTGGATAGAAAGTGAATCTGGAGATGAAAAACCGCGCCGTGGAAGTACTGTAACATTGCATGGTTGTGGCCCAGGGTAGTCACCACACCTGTGACCCGAAGGAAAGTGCAATGCATCGACCAGAATGCAGTTCTCTGTCTATTGAAAAAGGAGAATAATCACACACATATGGAAAGATCACCAACAGGTTTCAGGTACCATTAATGATTCAGTGTCGATTATCACGCGATTGGGGGACAGAAGTAAGAGAGTTTGGGATACTTGGCTTCTTCAGAGAGGTAAGACCTCGTAAATGTTGTCCAAAAGAGAGTGCCGGGTTACCTGCAGGTAAATTTAGAGGATTAGTGAAAGGAACGGCAGGTTGCGCGGGCGCGTTGGCCAGGCGCGATGAAGTGGCTAATGCAGCAGCAGCTAATGCAGATGCATGCCCAGCGGCCGTACGAATAGGAGGCATCGGTTGAGTGGGACACTGAACAGGTAATACCGCACCATTCAGTTGGGGAGTGGGACGAATCGGTGCAGCACTAACGTAGGGACGATTAGATACACACGATCCGTTGAACGCAACAGATGCCAACACATTCATGTTTGAAGTACGGTCAGTTTGAGAAAGTGCACTTGTATATGGCTCATCAACGACCGGTACGTTCGTTCCACTGACATCCATGTCTTCAAAATCTTCGGCAAAAACGAATGGTTGCTGAGGCACGTGAGAGGGATGTACAGGACCGGTCGCAGAAACATTGGGTAGTTGATCGGGATGAGGGGTTCCAGCGTGCGGAATTCCGTGGCTGCTCCCACCTGGTATAAGGCCACCAGTGGAAGCCATGATCGTATGGCCAACGAATCCAGGAGACCTACAAAAATTGACAGAAAAAATGTTCGTGTCACATTTTTCAGCTAAAGCAACCAAGGAAACATGTATGAAAGGTTTGAGTTGATGCGATTATCGGGGTCCCTTTTTCCTGTAGAATAACGAGAAATGAAGTCAACAAGGTGACTACCTGATAGAACGTGGATGATAAGGCGTCAGCAGGAGAGATGTACACACTGCATTTCCTGCAGGAATTTTGGATGATAACTGAAAAAGGTGACAGGTCGTAGTCTACATTTTATGGAGCAACTGTTGTAACAACAAGCTAACCAAGTATTGAATAACTCAGGGGGTATGCAGCACATTTAAATGCATATGATCCCTGAAGGAATCGAACGCGCGAAGTCGAGCGCGAATTTGCTAACCAGAAGGTACGTGGTCCGAACCTGACCTCCCCTGTCTAGGCTTGGGCAACCTGACAGTATCCCAGCACTCGCGTTTCTTTCGGGTGGCGTGGAAGCTGAGAACCGAAAGTATGTTACAGCTGAACATTTCTTTGGAGTCGAACAATTGACAAAACCGTGTTTACGCTAACATCAAGACATCGTCGCTCTTAAAAAGAAGTCTGCAAAATGTCAAGTACAAGAGGGAAAAGTAAGCAGGAANTCGGGCTGGATTGGAAGCGTAGCGTCGGATTATCACAGGGTTGTACGCCAACATTGAGGGTCGTTATCTCTTTTCATCTGTTGTATTTAAATCCGCCTTCGATTGTATATGCTCATGGCCTAAAGGGCTATGATATGGTACTGCAACATTATTCCAAAATAACTAAAACACTGGTTGTCAGGCGATATGACACTTATATGGTTGGATACGTCAACTACGAAGCGAGCATAAGTACTCCGTTGAAGGAGAGTGATTCAGGCTGGCACGAGATAGCTGGGTGGTTGAGGCACGAAACCTCTGATTAGAAAGTCTGTGATTCGAGCCCAACCCTAGCTTTTTATTGCTCAACTCTAGACTTGAGAAACCTGGCAGTATTTCCGCCCTCGAGCTCCCTTTGAGTTGCGCAGAAGCTAGGCACCGAAAGGGTGACGTGGCTGGACATCTTCGTTATACACAAGAGCACGCACACCTATGCCCGGTTCGAGTGTATTACGTTGCAGCATTATACCGAATATTCAGCTATACAATGCCGCATACAGTGCGCCATCACTCTCCATGACCTGACAAAAAACGTATGATCTTCGAAGTAGTGGATGGTTGGAGTGTGTGTGAAATCGGTTGACTACGAGATCACCTCAACTTAGCCACTGGGAATTTGCACGACTTAGCACGGAGAAGATACAACTTTGACAAACGCACTTTGACCAACAAGTAGGTTCGGTCACGTACGCACGTCGAATAAGTACACACAAAATGCAAGCCCTGTTTGTGGACTGAGTAATCATAAGTAAAAGAAGCA